ACACACACCCACACACACACACACACACACACACACACACACAAATCAAAAACAGACATACACTTTCACTCCCCATTGGCCATGAATGCAAATGTATTACGCAATGTTCGGCACACGACGTGTCACGATCTTTCCCACCCATCTGACACGACGGCGACATGTTTTGGCATGAGTTTCTAGTTTTGTTTTGTTTTTGTTTTTTTGTAAAAATGTGCGGTGCTGCAACAAATGTTTGCGTGTTGTCAACGATATGATGTTTCCCCCTCGAAGCGAATTCTTGTGTGCAAGAAGTCACTTAAGGCATGATGTACCACTCTATACGTTACAAGTATGACAATGTACCTACCGAGTTGTCTGTGTTGTGTGTGGGCAACGTAACAGGCTACGAAAATGCATTGCTTATTTTTTTTTCGAAGCCATGTTTACTGACCGTTTTTAAGTTTGTATCCAATGTCTGCACAGGTGTCAAAATCAAGGCCCGGAGGCCAGATCCGGACCGCCGAGTCTTTTTATGTGGCCCGCGAAAGCTAATCACATGTTACAACTTCCCTGATCCTTGCTCAAATCTGGACCGAAATGTCAAATTGTCACGTGTAATAAATAACATTGAGAATTTGCAATAATATTTTTTTTTACCCTTTTTACACTCACTTGGACAATAATTGAACCAACAATTGAATTATTTCAAAACTAGTAATCTGTCAATTGTATTTGTTACGTACAAGTAATTATACGATGTGATGATTAAACATTATTTCGGTTTCACTGTTGTAATGGCCCTCCGATGGAAGATGTAACTGCAAAGTGGCCCACGAGAAAAATGGGTTTGACACCCTTGGATTAAAGCGTTCACGTTCAGGTGTTGAGGTCACGCAACCCGCAATGCACTCAGTTCAATGTTAAAAAACAAACAAAAAAAAAAACTAACATTTGGGCCGAACTCAATTTAGAGATGATCTCATTCCTGTTGTATTTTAATTTTTTCAAAATGTGAGAGGGATGGTCAGCATTTTGGGTACTCACTGAGAACAATTCACAAACAAACAAACAGAAACAGAGCGAGAGATAGACAGACAGATGCCTCTCTAATGTGCGGCAGATGTGCTAACCAGTCAATTGTTCAATTGTTTCAATTCATGAAAATGTATAACTTTGTCAAAAAATGTACACTTTCTGAATTGCTCCAATTATTTTTGATCTCGAACACACAACTTTAATCTCGAAAATAGGTCTTCATTCTCGTCAAATGATGATTTGAATTTTGAATGTATTTTTTTCCCCCCGAAATTCTCCAACTTTATTCTCCTTATTCTCATGAAAACGTATGAATTTATCATAAATATACAACTTTGCTCTCATCAAAAGTTAGGACTTTAATCCTGAAGCTTTCTTCTCTTTTCTGGGTGGCCCTTATATTACTTTGTACTTCCTCCCGAGTGAAACAACAGCAACAAAAATTGTTTGGAGTAAAACTCCGGATGTCCTGCAAAAGGATCTCTAGAGGCAAAATTGCTCCTGCTCTTCTCAACTTCCCCTCATCATCACGATCTCCGACCGTGTTTGCTCCATTGGTGAGTGCGTACGTGATGGCATGAGGGAAAAGGAGCCGTTTTGTTTTGTCATGACATGTTGAGTGCAGGGGATGAAAGGACTGCTTGACACTTTGTTTTGTACCGCCTATGCTCTCTTAACACTGCCAGTATGTTCAAAAAAACCCGAGTCTGCCCTGGTTGGGATGTGTAATTGATGACCCGCTTTCTGTGTGTGTCTTTTGATAATCCTCGAGCTTTAAACTTCTGTTCTGTTGGTTTCTCACTGGAAGATGTCAGCATGAAGTCAAAGTAGCCCTGTAAAAAAAAAAAAACAAAAGCAAACAAACAAAAAAAAAAAAGTCATCGACTGCAACCGTGTTACCATGTTGCCTACTGGACCTGCTGCCTTTTGTGTTTGTGTCGTGATGACATGGTTTTGTTTTTCGACTCTTCTTGTTTTTCAAGTAAAAATTGTCTGGAAAAAGAAAAAAAAAGTGCTGGTGTATCTCTCTGACCATCGGATTTTTATCGGTGTCTCTTACAGAAATGCTAAACATTGTGAATTCCAAGTTAACAACATGAACAGACCTGACTTCTCAAATTGGTGTCATGGAACTTCCCAAAACTCAAATTTCATCCAATTTGGAGTGTTTCCGAAAGAGTAAAACCGTATATTGTCAAACGGACCATTGCAAGATGGCAGCAATGTCGTCCGCTGGTAGAAGAGACGTGTAGAAAAACGGCTGAGAAGAAGAGCAGGGTCATATAGGCGACAAAAGTGACATCTGAAGCAGCTTTTGCTCGTTGGAAACAAAAATCAGATTTCAAGGCTCTATTCCAAGACTTCATGAATTTGGACACCATTGTGAGGTCGAGGCGCACTGGAAGTTATTTACAGTAACTTTAAGTAGCCAAACAACATCATCAACACAAAGGTAAATATTTTTTGGGAAGCATTCCTGACCATTTAAACATTCGAAAAGGAATAGGAAAAAGTATAAACGTATCTAAATATAGGAATACATAATAAAATGGACTTTAATAATGATTACATTAAAAATGTACTACATTTAAATTAAAAGCGTTCTTAAATGTTGAAAAGCAAACACTGTGAAAGGCAGGGTGTGGAATCAATCACAAATTTGGGCCGTTTTTCAGTATGCGCGTGCCCGCTTTAATCAAACCACACCACAAGAACTGTGTTGGAAAAAAAATCCACAAATAACATTTTGTGCCAATGATGTGGTCTGATAAGCTTCTCAATATGGTGCTGAAGCAGCAACAGATGTCAGCATGATTTGTAAAAACAAAAGTCAAACAAACCTCATTCGTCAATCGCCCCACTCAGGCCCAGGTGGTCAGTCAAAACGGGGTCTCTCTTTTGGAGTAGGCTGATGAAAAGGCGGCAGGCATGGTTGCCGCGGCTCCGCATCGCAGCCAAGAGCACCCGAGCCATCGCCGTGCCGGTGATCTGCTCTTGCATCACTTTTACCTCTTCCTGATTCAAGATATGCGCCGAGAGAAGATCGCACTTAAGTTGATTGATCACCTCGTTGGTAACTCTGGCCACAAACTCCTCTTCAACATTGGCCAGTGCTTCTCGAAGGAGAAAATGATGGCAATGAGTATGGTACATTTCCACCACATATGGTGGAGCAATTTTTACGGCCCAGTACCAAATGGCACGCGGACCGGAGGCTATGGACCACTGTTTTTGTTGCTGTTATCATTGACGAATTAAAATGAAAAACTTTAAAAGTGTACAAATATAGCTTGAAAGAATGCGACACACAACATGTGTGAGGTGATTTTTTTCTTACACTGTGAAGGTCTTTTACAATATGAAAAAAAAAATTGAACTGGATTATATAAAGCCTGTATTTCACTGAGCGGCAAAGGTAGGTAATGTTCATTTTCCTTTGGCCATCTTGAATGAACCCTGATGAAAAATCAACATTCGCTATGTTCACAAACACTCACAAACCTTCGCCGCTCTGTGAGAGATGTGTTTTTGCCCCCCTTAAAGCTGTTGGCAAAACTCGAGCCAACATCTTTGCAACCGTTGGTCTATGTGTGCCCTCCATTTTCGAATCCGCTTTATCCTCACAAGGGTTGCAGGGGGGTGCTGGAGTTTATCCCAGTTGTCTTCGGACAGTAGGCGGAGGACACGCTGAACTGGTTGCCAGCCCAATGCAGGGCACACAGACAAACAACCATCCGTGCTCATACTCACACCTAGGGACAATTTAGAGTGTTACATAACCTGCCATGCATGTTTTCGGAACATGGGAAGAAACCAGATTACCCGAAGAAAACCCACGGAGGCACGGGAAGAACATGCAAACTCCACACAAGAAAGCCGCAGCCGGAATCGAACCCTTCACCTCTGCACTGTGAGGCCGACGTGCTAACCAGTCGACCACTCGTCTAACATTCATGGTAAATATAAGCTACTACAATTCAGCCTGTTCAAGTTTAAAGAGGGGTTGTCATTTCGACCCAATACAAGTGCGCTCGTGCAATGAGTTGTATTGTAAATTGTATTTCTGTAAAGTGATTCAAACTCTTGTTCCATGTGTTACAGATTTCAGATCGCTGCGTGATTGTACGTAAGTAAAACCTCACTCTTCTGTGTTTTATAGGGGGGCTCAGCAGTCAGCGCGCTCCGCCGGCAGTGAGGTGGTAGCGTGGGGTTGAAGAGGGTGGACGCTACGGAAACTCCCATCAGTTTTATATATATATATATATATATATATATATATATATATATATATATATGTGTGTGTGTATATATGTATGTGTGTGTGTGTGTGTGTGTGTGTGTGTGTGTGTGTGTGTGTGTTTTCATGATAGGCCAAAGGTACAAAGATCCTCTTACCAGCAGCCATGGATCTTGAACCACTTCCTCCTTCCTTCTCACGTGAAGCTTTCCTAGCGGAATTTAGGTTAGTAGTTTTGGCCTAACAGAACCAGTTCGGACCTCCCTCACAAGGACGAGTAGTACTAAGAGGACGATAGCAAAGCTTGTGGGTGTGTCTTCTCTAGGTGGCTGTAAAGTACTGCTTCATTGTTCCTCTGCCTGCCTTGTGAAACATCTCCAACAAAAAAATCCCGCAGGGTGAAGTTTGGTGTCAAACTGATAGTGTATTGCAAAAGGATCTCAGAGGCAAAAATGCTCTTGCACTTTATATGTTCTCAACTTCCCCTCCCCTCGTCATCATGACCTCAGACTGTGTTCGCTCCATTGGTGAGCGCGTGCGTGAGTGCAAGAGGAAAAGGAGTTGTGTTGTTTTGTCACGACATGTTGTGTGCAAAGGACAAATGCACTGTTTGTCACGATAAGATCTCTTAACACTGCCAGAATGTTCAAAAAAAAATCCCAAGGCCGCCCGGGTGGAGTTGTGTAATTGATGACTTCCCTTTTTTTTTCTGACCCCTGAAGCACTCTTAAGTGTCTATTCATGAACTCAAAGAAACCCCGTTAAAAAAACAACAGCAGCAGCAGCACAAATCATCAGATTGATCATTTTACAATGTTGCCTATTCAACCTGCAGCCTCAGTGTTGTGTCACGATGTTTGTTAGTTTTCGACTCTTATTGTCTTAAAGATTGTCTTGGAAAAAAACCCAAAAAACAGCTGTATGTATCTCTAAGACCATCATGTTATGTACTCCAAAGGCGGAGTCACAGATGGGTGTCGCCACACAGGACATACATTCAGATTTTATCAGTACCTTTTACAGGAAAGCATATTGTATTGTGAATTCCAGCTCAACAACCTGAATGGACTTGTCTACTCAGATTTGTGCACTGGAACTTCCCAAAACTTCAAACTTCCAATTTGGAGTTTTTCTGGCAAAGTAAAAGTAGTTAGTAGTCGTTAGTACTTGATAGTTGACAGTCTCGCACTCCGAGCAACTTCCTACTGCCTGTCTCTCAGGTCACGCATTTTTGACATCGTCAAGAGTAGTTTGGCTTTCTTCATTTTGCATTTCTTTCTTTCTTTCTTCTTTTAAACAGGTTGAAGTGGTCAAATGTTTCTGCAAACATAGAATCATTCATCCTTTCATGCACCCTGTAACCCGATTGCATGATAAGCTCTCCACTGTAGTAACCGCTGTCCCCCCGAGGGTTAAAGGTCATGTGATAGCAGCAAATACATTAAACAGGTTCCATTTTTTTACGTGAGTGGCTGCCAAAACTTGCTTCAAGTACCACCATCATTATCACCTTGCTTCGGAATCCTGTTCGTTTGTGGAGGCGTACCCACCGTCATTTTGATTTCACGCGAGACAAATCTTGTTTGACTGGAGATGTGCGCGAGTGGATCCCTCCTTAGTTGCCCCAAGGTGTGACAACCTTGATATGTTTGAATGCGCTGCATCTTATTCACAGGAGGGGCAGCTGCACGCTTGTAACACAGTAATTATCAACGATCGACATTTCACAATGCCACAGGAGGGGAACCGACTCTGGGGCGCATGCAAAACAGTCTTTTATTCGGCCCCGCGTTGTTTTTCGACCACCTCTCACATTCCACTCCAAGGGCGTGTCGTGCAATTTCCTTCGTCGCTAAATCTAAAAAAACGTGGTCGACACAGCAGCATGGAAAAAGGCTAGAAAAGACTTCTAAAGGCTCAAGTCCCAGTCATCCTCTGCTAACGACTAAAAATGCGGCGTTGTTTTCCAAACCCATTTTCTGGTTAGTTGTGTGTGTGTTTTTTTTTTTTTGAAGAGATTAGGTTACTTTTATCCAAGTTTGGGTTCATTATTTTGATCCAACGGATTGAGTTGAAGACTACTCTCCATCCAAAGACGATTTATCACTGTTATCTTATTTTGCTGTGTTAGAAAAAAAAAGAAGAATCACACAAATCAAATTACCAGCTAACTGAATGAAATGTTCCAGTACCTCACCCAGAAAATGTAAGACACCACATTTGAGAAGGGCTTTGTTAAAAATCATCCTCGTGTTCATTTTCTGACTCGTCCACTCCGCCACCTCTCCTTTATCCACCGTATCATGACCGTGTTTGTCTTGTTTTCTATTTAGGGTTAACTACAAAGGAGCAGCAATGTGTGAACAGGACTCCGCAGAGAAAGCCTGTGATTCACTGACTGAAATCGATGATGGTTATTGTTGTTTTCCATGCTGACTGTTATCGTCCCACTTGTCTGAATGAAGTGGCATAGAAACCCCCCCCCCCCCCCACCCAAGAAGTGATTACTGGAAATAACTTGTCCAGAGGTTAGCAAGACCACAACGCAATCTTTAACAATAGTTTATTATTGAAAAGCTGGTCAAACCGTAAGCAGTCATAGAATCATTTAGGAAATTACTTTTCAGAAACCCATGCATTTGATACTTTTTTAAAATATGCTTTCTATTTGTAGTCAAAACTGTTGCTGTGAAATTGTGAAACTTACATGTTAAAACGTGTTTGGTTTGGCTTCCAAATTTGCTGTACCGCGAAGCGATTTCTTGACCTGTTCAGGTCAACGGCGTCCTTTTTGTGTCCTATGAATTAAAGTTACTAGTTATGTAACTATGGATATTGTTTAAAACAAACAAACAAAAGAAACAAAAGAACGCGAAGGGCTCCACCAGTGACCTGAACCAGAAGTAATTGCTTCGTTTCGCTGCGCCTAATGAGGAAACCAAACTTATCACACGATAACATCCTAACTTATTATTCCGTGCATGAAAACGTTCAATTTATCACATTGTAACGTGATGTTGATTTTATTTTATTTTTTTCCTGATGTGGTAGCAACACGCTTCCGCTCGAGTTGTGGTGTGAATTTATTACTTGTCAAGAACCACTTAAGTTGACCGTTACAATCAAAATATTCAATGTCAATGTCGCGTTATGTCGTTTTGTGGATGGATTTGGAATGGAGTCGGATGCGCCGGCTCTTTTCAATGCTTGACGACTGACAGTGAGCCAAATTCCCAGTTGAGGATCGTGGCGCCGTATTTTCGATTGAAGACCCCTTGTGTTTGCAGACTGTTTACAGTTGCGGCAGGCAGACTTCACTGTCGTGGTGACCGCAACACAGTCGGACAATCTGAAGCATACGTTGGAGTAGGGAACATATACAGCCAAGGAAAAAAGTAAGAGACAAGCATATTTTCTTCAATTTCTTGTTCATTTTAA